AGTCTTGTTTATTCTTTGAATCTTTAAGATTAAAGATTATTTGTGTTTTGCACTGTAACATTTTGCTGATGAAAATGTAACCTCACATGAATGTTTGTGATTGATACTAAAATGCAAGATTTTCCAGATTTTTTAAAATGTCATACACAAACTGACCATGAAGTTAGAAGAAATTTTACTTTCATAACAAAATCATGTTGATTATAGCTCAAAATTTGGATTATTTCTCACTAAAATATAATTTTATGATATAACAATTTCTGACCTCCTCTCCCTATAAATGGCAGGCACGACCCTGGGCTGGGGTTAGGGATTAGTGTTCAGATATGGGGGTGAAGAGTCACTTTTTGGAGAGAGATGCTCTGTAGAGAGGCAACTCTAAAGAAAGCGTCTTGGGGGAAATGCCAGATTAAATTCTAGGCAGCCTGTTCAAATTAATCAGATAGCTAAAGGAGAGTATCATCTCCAGGTGGAGCTGGGAAGACCTGGCATGACAGAAGTTAAAAAGTAGAGGAGAGAAATGAGTCCAGAGCAAGTTGCTGAAGCAGATTTTAGATTTTGTCAAGTGCCATGCTCCTAGGTAGGAAAGATATGGCAAAAGATGTTGACCCAGCCTGCACAATTAATAATAAGTACAGTACAGAGAAGAGCATACTTGGGGTTCCACTGGAGACAAGAGAATCCAAAGGCCCCCGAGAATCCTCGTCCTTAAAATCCTAGGACTCTCGATTTTTTAGTCCAGTGTGAATATTCTTTCAATAGTTAATATTTTACTTCTTCGTTCTTTTTAGATCTTGTATGATCTCTCAATTTTTGTGGGGTTTTTTCTTTTTTGCCTATACACTAAGTCTAGTTAACACAGCTGGGGGTTGATGACATCCTCTCTTGTATTCTGTGAGTTCTTTATGTCTAAACTACTCTAATTTCCATACATAAGTGTCAAGTATAATAAATATAATGACATATGTATGTGGTAAGATCCTGGCATTTTCTTAAGTGGGGACCAACGGACCAACTTCGTCCAAATACCACTCAGCAAAAGCCAACAGGGATGGCCAAAGATCATGCCTGCGTGTTTCTTCCTTCCTTCCCTTCTTCTCTTTCTCCTTCCTTTATTGATTAACTAACTCAACATGTATTTATTAAGCACCTGTTATATTCATTGTTCATTGTGCTGGAGTTACTTGGAAAACAAGAAAATACAAATTCTCAAGGGTCTTCCAATCAAGATTCTATCTAAACAACAAAATATGCTCACATGAATATATAAATATAGTACAAGGAGTGATGTAGTTCTTATGATCTAAAACAACGTTTTCCAAACTATAGGTTGCCAGTCATCCTTTGCCAGATCATAAAATAAATTTATTGAGTTAGGACCATACTTTACCAAATAATAATAATAATAATAATAAATAGAAGGAAAATGGCAAATATCAATGCATATTACATGTAATAATATAATAAAATATATTTTTTCATAAAATTTTTGGAGGACAGATGTATGTATGCACTGTATGCCAAAGTAAAAAGTATGTCTTACTATGAGAAAAAGTTACAAAGAAGTTTGAAAGACACTGTCCAGAGGAGTTTAGAGAGACATTATTTTAACTTGAGTAGTCAAGGAAGGAAGGCTACATGGGTCTGAAAGTACCTGAATGAGGCTGAAAGGAGATGGGTTGACTTTTCAGATGAAAGCGCTACCAAAAGGAATTCCGAATTGCGAATTAAGTTATAACCATAAGAGAAAGTAAACTCTATAGAACCAGCTTATACTTGAATGAATGACCACCCTAGGACCAACTACACTTCCAGAATCTTCTAGGAAACATGACCAATATACAACAAAATCTGAATCTCCCAACGTGGCATCATCCTCTATCTCTGATTCCACATGGAAACTTTTAACAGAGTGTTACTGCGAGGTATATCGCACTTCCAAGGGTGACTCAAAATATTCTGTCCAATCGCTTGTTCCAAATATTTATGTATTTAAGATATGAAATGTTTTTAAAGGTGAAAGGCCTAAAGGTAAATACCTAGTTCAATAAACTGAAAGAGATCCCCCCCCCTTAGATTAGATCCTCTTGTGATTTTCATTGGACAGTGTACTCTCTGAGCTCTACTGTTCTAACATTTATTGGGCAAAAATTTAAGGACTCAGGACAACTGATTTATTTTAGCATTTTTTTTTTTTTGATACAAAAGAAGGAAATAAGAGAATAAAAGCAGTCAGGGTGGCCTCTAGAGAAGGGGAGCTGTTGTTGCAGGAATCTTGCAAGTTAATGAGAATTCACCCGGGACTCAAGAGCGACTGAGGGGAGAAAGGAGGAGATGGGGAGGGGGGAATAAAAACTCTTCCTTTGCAGCTGGCCCTCTCCCTCATTTGTTGCTCCAATAAGCAGTAATTAGGTCCTGAGCTAATGGTGTCAGCTGATCTGCTGTTTTTAGGCTAGACCCAGCGGAATCTCCATGGAAACCCTGCTGGAGTCGTCCCCCCACCTGGATGCTGAGTGCTCCTTTCCGCCACCTGGCTGCCGCCGGGCCCGCTGCTACCTCCTCCTGCCTCTAACCTGCAGCCTGCAGCATGCGCACTGCCCCCGGGATCCCTAAATGGGACAATTCTGCCCGTGACGTCAGCGCCCAGCCGTCTCCACAGAAACTTTTGTCCCATTGGCCAATCAGAGAGCTTGGAAGGGGCCGGGGGGGGGGGTGGGAGGAGAGGGGAGGGGGGGGGGGGGGGGGGGTGAGGGGAGAGGCGAGAGGTTTAGTGTGTGGAGCTGCTCGCGCTCCGCCCGGGCTGTCAGTCCCGGCTCCAGCCGCCGCGAGACCTTCCCGGAGACGCGCGCACACACAGCGCACCCCCCGCACACCGCACACCCTCGCGCCCTGGCTCACACACACGCACACACTCAGCCTGGCCGAGCAGGAGCCACTGACCATTTTGCAAGTGCCAGGACCAGCTGCAGCGCAGTGGGTACAAACACTCGGCGTTCCTACTCCGGGCTTTCGTCTTGGAGACGACGACCAGGGGCGAAGGTGGGCTAGGACGCGGACCAGGCGCCGGGCACTGGTCGGGCCGCCTTGCCGGCAGAGCCGCCTCCCGGGACGGGCGCGGGCCTCCGCAGAGAGTAGAATAAAGAGGAGCGGCCGCAATCTCAGCGCGAGGAGGATGGGAACTCCCCTATTTCCAGCTCTGTAACAAACGGATGGAAATCCTGAATGAAGGCACCGCTGATTTCATTTGCTTGAGAAAATCGTCCAGAGGAACTCATATTTGGCTACTCTGAGCAGCGGAGGGGGTGTCCATGACGTGGCAGGGGGAAAATAGACATCCGAAACCTCCCGTGTGAACTGCAAACTGTAACCAAGCAAGGGGAAAATGATATCTCTCTACGTTTCAATTTCATGCAAAGGGCTTTCTGCATCTGTATCATAAACTTACTTCTATGTCTTGTACCCAGTTCAGCAGAAACCAGAGGAGTCCTGTCTGGGGACCCCATCATTATCCGGGAGACCCGTTGCCAGCGGCCTGCCTTCGTTTACCCACATCCCCCAAGAACGGATATCTGTTTGGGGTACCACAGTCTATCCTATACAACTATGGCCAAAGCTCCATGAATGCTTTGCTAATTCTGAGACAACTCCTGGAGCCTACCTGCGGGGCCGGAATTTAGCCTAAATGCATCTGAAGAAATGACATTTTAAGCCGTTTTAAATATACCTTAAAAAAAATTCCTGTGTAGCAGGATTTGATAGGCTTAACAACATGACAGGTAAGAACTTTCTCTCTTTGTAGTCCTTTAACGCCCCACGCAGGGAAGGCCGAAGCGGAACAGGACCCTGGAGGAAGCAGAGCCCGGGTCCCGGGTGCCCTTCGGGGCTCGCAGGCGCTCGGCCGAGCGGCTGCTTTCGAGAGAGGCGCAGCCCTCGCTCCTGGACCGCGGGGCGAGCGGCCAGGGAAGCTTCTGGGGCGCTCGCGAGGAGGCGGCGCTGCGCTCCACCTGCCCTGCCCCGGACACAGCCCCGGGGCGAGGCATCGAGGGACCACCCCAAGTCAATATTCGGATTTTTAATAAACCAAGGAATGGGATTTTAATTATTCAAAACCCAGCTCCTCTGGGCCAGATGCTGTTGGGATGGTCCTAGTCACACAATATTAAAGAGACCCATCTGTAAGAGAGCGAGAAAAGCGTCCAAGACGTCCGTTGCAATTACCAATGAAGCAGAGACTTGGTCGCACAGGGCAGTGATTGCTGGTGCCCGACTGGACCCTCCTCCCCTCTCCCCATTCCTCCCCCCACCAGAAGCAGGCTCCGGCGGCGGCCGGGACCTCGCGTCCCTGCGTCGCGGCCCGGGCTGCATTTTTCATGAGCCCGGGGTGAACAGGTGCGAAGTGCGCTGGGAGCATCCGGCCGACGGCCGGGCGCGGGGAACATGGAGAGCGAGCGCGACATGTACCGCCAGTTCCAGGACTGGTGCCTCAGGACTTACGGGGACTCAGGCAAGACCAAGACGGTGACCCGTAAAAAATACGAACGGATCGTCCAGCTCCTCAACGGCTCCGAGTCGAGCTCCACGGACAACGCCAAATTTAAATTCTGGGTCAAATCGAAGGGCTTCCAGCTGGGCCAGCCGGATGAGGTCCGCGGGGGCGGCGGCGGCGCCAAGCAAGTGCTCTACGTGCCGGTCAAGACCACGGTGAGTGACTCTCCTTCTTCTGTTATTTGTCTGCCGGAGCAGCCCGGCGGGGAGGGGAGAGAAAGGGGGGGAGAAAGGGAGAGCCGTGAGCCACCGTTGGCTCGTGTGCCCCCCACCCTTCTCAACTCCCTCCCCAAGTCGTCCCCACTCGCATTAGCCAGGCGCGTTTCCCCCACCGCGGAATCTTTGTGGTCCTTTATTTTAAAGCGGCAGCGCACCTCCAGAGCCCGCTGCCCTCCCTCGCCTCCTGGCTCCCGGACACGCTGCTGGAGCTTCCATCCCCGGGTCGGGCGGCGTCCCGCGTCCTCGGGCTGGGCCATTGTCCCATGTCCTTCGCTGAGCGCCTGGCGCGTGTCCCGCCGCCGCCACCACCGCGCATAAAGGCCACGCCGGGACCCCAGCCGCACGCTCTGATAATAGACGATTCTGATCGATAGTCTACAGTGTCTCCCTATTGGCACAAAGCCCGATTGTGCTGCTAGCCACGGATGTGGGGTTTTCCCCCGGACACTGTCAGGTTTTATTGTTAGACCGCCGCCTGGGAGACACCGGGCTGTCCGATCGCCTTGATCATTCCCAGAGATCTTGCCACGACTATTTAGATTGTAGATAAGGTCCTGGAGATTCCTCCTCCCCGCCCCCCATTCCCTTCCTGACTACTCCCTTTCACAAATAAAGCCGTAGCTACATGATGAACAACAAAGAGAGATGGATTTGGGCGCAAATGGTGTACGTATTTGTTCCTCGTTCTGGGATGGCTCTAGTCTCATGGCCACAAAGCTCTAAGCCCAGGCGCTGCGAGGTACTGACATTGAGAGCCCAGTATATCTCAGCCTCACACGGCAGAAGCCTGTGAGGCTGGGGAGAGGCAGCAGCGTCAGTTTCCTTTTTAAGGAGATGGGAAGTGTGGGCTACAAGTAGGAGTGCAGATCAGATCTGTAACACCTCATTCTTCATCACGCTACGGTGGGTACTTGCCTGGAGTAGGGTGGGGGGGAGGGTACCTGACATCCTTTGCATTTTTGCCTCGCTTTGGGGTTTCTTGAGCATTTGCTCCTTTTCCTCCCTCCCTTACTGGCAACTGTTTCTCGTGCAGAATTCCTGGAGGATGCTAGAAAGGAGATGTCTTGAAAGATGTATTCTTCTATCTCAAACGGAGGTATATTAAATTGGAAATATGTGCATGAAAGATTTTTCAAAGGATTATTTGGAGGACTCGTGTAGGTTTGGAAAACAGTATATGGTTTTCCGAGATTTGTGGTTTGAAGGAAGTATATTTATTTTGGAATTTATATGGGAAATGGGAAATGGAAATAAAGGTAAAGTGGAAACACACATAAAAGTTCAGTTGTTTTTTAATAAATGTACTCTTGTTGAAAGGCTTCTAGGAGATAGATCTATAAATGCAGCCTTCTCCTTTAACATGTGGCATTGCTAAAGACAATGGTGAGATTACTGTCTTGTTTAACTAAATAATGAGGACTAGATGGGCATGGATTAGAACTGAGGTTATTTACATCTGGATGAGCCAGAAGTCTGTTGCAAAGAATGAAGGACTTTGATTCATGTGTATTGGGAGTAATATTAAGAACCTGATTTAAAAAAATAACTTATTGTTAGATAAAGTAAATTAGAATTCAAAACATGAGAATGTATTTTCCTTTGGGCAGTACTGGGCTAATTGAATGAATAAAATAATCGTTTAAGATATATTTACCTAAATATTTAACAATATTGTATATGTTAAAAAATTGCTACCTGGGAAGTTTTTTTGTTCCTTTTATGTTAAACTTATGTCCCTCTGTTACTTGTCAGATAGCTTCACTTGTGTATTGGTACAATGAGTTTATACCTGCGTGGATTTGGTTTCAGCCACTATATGTATAAGCAGATGTGCCCTTTTAACACGATTAAAAATTCTAAATAACATAAACTCTGTAATAGTTAGAGAGGCACTAAGATAAACATGGATGCCAGTAATTCAAACCAGCATCCACATGTTCAGATACCTGTATTTCCATTCAAAAATTAATGCAAAATTGTGAAAGAATTACTGCTGAAACATCTAATCTAGAATAACAACTCCCGGGTTAATAATAAAGTAACACGTTTCTCTTTTCCGGAAAGATTCCATATATTTATGAGAGAAAATGTAATCCATCAGGTGATATCCTTAGATAATGGTTTCCACGTAGTATTTAAGAGCCCCGCTCTTCATTCAAGCCTGTTTTGAAATGTTGAAGAGGTTTTTAATTCATGAGCTCTTCTATTGCTCTTTATGAAATTTTTATGCTGCTCCTGACTTAGAATTATAGGCTCCTCCTTCTCTGAGAGACAGCCAATCATCATTTCAATGAGTTAAAAAATAAATAAAAGATCTCTTATCATGTGTTTCCCCACATCTCAAATGATCTCTTCCTTTAAAATATGTGGATTTTTCTGTAAAATAGCAAGAGTACAATCACCCGAAAGACAAAGAAACACATTTTCTTTTTTGCTTTAAAGGCATATATTGGTTGAAATAAAGTAATGAATTTGGCATTTTCAAATAGACTAACAATCATTCTAGCTATTTGAGGTTTGTTTGCGGCTGGCTGTGCTGTCAGTGAGAGAGATTTGCACCTGATGTTGCATTAACCCACTGCTGCTGATAATTAGACATCATTACACTGCAAAAAGGGAAAGAGGGAAGGGGAGAGGACAGGCTGGGGCTAATTAACTACTTGTGTTTAGTGAAAGAAAGGGAGACTGATAGCAACTGGGAGGTCGTACTAGAACACATAGACTTAATTGAAACAGGATTTTTAGTCTGAAAGAAGCGTGGTTCTCCCTCTTATTTTCCTAAAAGAATAGATGTAGCTTTGCAAATACGCTTTCCCCTAAAGCCTACACTTAACTGATGATAAAATCAAGCAAGTGACAACTGACTTAAAATAAAAATGTAAAATACTGGAAAAGATAAACATGCCTTTTAATATTTGTCCTGGCCATGCCTAAAGCTGAGGGGACATATCTGTCACTGTTTAGATTACTCTGTGGCCGTGGAGATACTCTTTGCTCACTAAGCAACAACGTCCTGCAACTCAGCCATTTTAGGTCTAGAGTGGGACCTGCGCGCGTGTGTGTGCGCACAAGCACGCACGTGTATGTGTACACACATATACAGTTTGTTGAGAATCACATCTAAGTTTTTTTCTGCTACCGCGATTATTTTTATATGTTCTTTCATTGAAGGTGTCAGGAATTTAGAAGAAAGAAATCATGAATAATTTAAAACAGTTCTGAAAAAGACACAGCAAATGTCTGACATTAACCACATATGTTTAATCAGTGATCATTTGAAATTAGCATTAATATGGTTACTCTATTTTATGTCTTTGAGAGTTCTAGTTTAGTTTGTTTCTAGAAGCTTTTGATCCTGATTGACATTTTTGTTTCCTGGCATCAGTTAGTTGAAATATCACCCTTACGATTTTACCTACCCAAACCCATTATACCACTTGATATTATGAAAGGTAAACTTAGAAAATAACCAGAAAACTCATTAAACCTTTCCATTAATAATATGATTAAAGCATTATTGTGTATTTTTAGAAAGCCCACTGTATTGAGTAAAATATCTGGAAATTTGGTAAAGTCACATTTTTGTTCCTCTTTCAGTCTTAAGCAAACGAGGTAATGACTGTCTCAACTGTGTAATTGAATAATGTGAGTAATGCTTTTCTTGATCTGTATTTGTAGGAAGAGACACTGAGGTCTAATTTTTGCCTTTGGTGTATTTTTTTCCTTATATTTATTCCACTAGGTAGCATGAAATAAATTTTCATCAAGAAGGAAAAATACATTATCTATAGTTATGTCATTTAAAAAATGATTTATTCATTTCTGCAATCTGTAGGCTCAGATTCCACATTGTTCCTGCTGTGTATACTACTCATTGATTACTGTACAGTGATTAGAATGAATATTCATAGACTGGCTCACAAATAGTTACTGTTTTTTTAGTTCTCTGACTATGATTTTAGTTATAAATTCTTTATGCCACATCAGAGTGAAGGAAATAATGCCTCATAAGGAGTGTGTATACATTTCTGCCTGGTCTAACTTCATGCCTAAGGCACACATCACATATATTAGGCCTTGACCTGGAATTTGCTACAGAAATTCCAGAAAACAAAGCTGAGGAACATGCCAACTGTATGTTATGATATTCTGTATCTCTGACACAGAGACAAATTATAATAGTAGTCACTGAGATATAAGCAAATTTTTGTTTACCTTCTATACTTCTGCACTGGGCATTGCTGTCCATAACCAATGTGTTTTTCTCTTCATTCAAGTATTTTGGGAGACTCTATAGCATAGGTCTTTGGGGTCAAATAGATCCCAAGTATGGATCTAGGCAACGTGCCTTATTAATTGACTTTAGGGGTTCCTCGTGAGTGGTTTTCAGGAATAAATCATCTATGGCAAGTCCCTAGCGCAGTGCCCATGTACGGCTCTCAGGGAAGCATGGGTACCTTTACGAGGTCAGTCGGGCATGAGGCAAGAGGCTTATGTAGATAACTCCCCTGAATCTGAGGAGGAACCGTGAAGACTGTCCCACACTTATTTCCTAATATACCAACTTGTAACTTTTCCGCTTGTTCTTCCCTGTCTTATTAGTAACCACATTGGGGGTGAGGGGCAAGATTCGGCACCCACGTATCCTCCCTCTGTAAACCTGAGCCAGCTGAGATTCTACTTCTCAAGATTTGACACTCTAGACTTTCTGCATAGGAGAGAGGAGAGATGAAGCAAAAGATAGCTATGGCAGCAGAACTTCCAAGTGTTTCGATCCCATGTCAAGATAAGACCTTGCCCTAATAGCTGTTGTATGTGCTAAGACTTTTTATATCTAACTGGGAAGGATGAAAGAGAATCTAGTATGTTTTAGGTTACATCCATTTTCATAATTCTGGGATAACAGGATAAAATAAACTTCATGGATAGCATAGATGCCAGGAAACATGGCACAGTGCAAGATTTAAATCTTAGATTTGACACTTACTGGAACTGGGAGTTAGGGAAAGTTTCTTAACTAAAGATGCAGTTTCCTCTTGTAAATGTCAGTAATAATACTTGCCTAACTAGTTTTGGATAAGAATTAATAATAACCATAATTCATAAGCATATGTAGCATATGCCTGGCACATAGTAAATGCTCAAAGAAAGAAGCTGTTCTAAGCAAGAGCACCATGATGCAATTATAGTGAGCTGTATGTTATGAACTCAGAATCACACTGCAACAATGAGTTAAAATACAAGCTACATATACGTATGGTTGTATTATTCAGCTATTTATCCAACATACTCCATTTTTAGAAAATAAAATGACTTTGTTTTTGTAAAAGTGATGTATTCTCTTTATTTAAAAAATCTAAGTGAAAATGAAAGAAAAATATTAAAAAGTCATGCTAAATCTCCACCCAGATCTAACCACCATTAGGTAATTATCAGCATCATTATCGATGTCTCTCTAAACATATATACAAAAGAAGATTAGATGTAATGATTGATTGATACAATGATTGATATGGACAGGCAGAAAGAATTTTCCAAAACTGGAATGATAATTAGATGCTAATTTAAGTAAGAAGAATAAAATATAATTTTACCAAAATGTAACAAAAGAAAAAGAAATACATAAATTCAAAAAATTGCTAATAGATAAGTGCTTCTGCTTAGAGGTATTTATTCTTGAAGTTAATAGAAAAGATTAAGAAGAACGTTAGGAGATTGAATTACATTTAGTTTTTCAACTACAGATTTCAATTTTGTACATATTATTGACTTTCTCAATGGTAGATTTCACTTCTTCTCACCTTGTTACATCTGTTTATATTATAGTACATTCATTATAATATAATTATATATTTTATGGTATTTATTCATTATATCATATATTATAATTGTTTTCATTGTCA